CATTCAAGTGTTCTGAATTAGGCTGAAGATGATCAAGCTGTCTGACACAGCTAACGCAAGAGTAGTGTGTGTGTGTTCTGTTAAAATTCTGCCTTTAAACTGTAGCACTCTCTATAAAGCGCCTGTACATCCTGGGCTTCTCTCTATATATAAACCTCATTTTTTATATAAGTATAATAGGTAAAAGTAAAATCATATTATCATGGCAAGTATATTCTCATATATACCAGTGCAATGTGAAATCAAGTGGCATGCAGTTGTGTACCAAAAGTGTTGTCCCACTAATTTCATTTTCAGTTCCATATTCTCTGTTTGAGGAGGGAGGATGATAGATAGTCAGGAAGGTAAAATTGATTTAGGTTTTCTCCTTTTATGCCAAGATTGCCTACTGCTATTTTCCTAGAATTTTATGATTTGGAGTCTGAACTATTTAAATTCAAAATAACTTTATACTCAGAGTATTATTCATCAATTTGATTTTCCTGGATTCTCTTTTGTTTAGTAAATATTACAATTTTATTATGGTTATCTCATCAAAGGATCACAGAATTTAAGTGGAAGTGCAAACAGAATGCAATTGTTTGATGAAGTTAATAAATGTAGGTCAGTGTGAATTTGTAAAATGTTGCAGTTCTCTGCAGAATTATGAAAATCTGTATATTGCTGAAATCATCACTTCAAGACCTTTCCAAAAGTGCCAGGAACAATATTATGTGTGTATTTTTAACCTTTATACAGACAGCAGGAGTACTGTCAACCAAATTTGCATCTCATAGCTGGAACCAGCACTGCTGCCTACTGCATAATGAAGTATCAGAATAACAATAAGTTACCTTGTCATATGAAAATGTTTTATTGTCGAACTATATAAAGCAAATAATTTTGTCATTAACAAATCAATAGCTACTTTACAGATTTCTTACACGAGATCGTTTTTATTTGTTTTCTTTGCGCACCTACATTGATAATGCTATGCTTTATTTCAATTGCTTGGAGTATTCTGTATTACAAAGAAAATGCACTTTTTATTACCCTACGTATTCACTTTTTAAACAAAAAAATGCATGGTAAGCTTGTGCTAATTAGCACTGATATTCTTCGGACTTGAACAATTCTCAAGTAATGATAAAGCACTATATTTGTCAAAACTTACACATATTTCCTCTAAAATGGTATTCCATAAAAATCTGTGTGATAGCAACTCTAGTTAAACTAGAGTTTAGGCATACAGGCATGCCAAGTAGGCATACAGGGGAAGCCAAGTTTGTAGGAAGATATGGTAGAGGTAGATGATGTTAAAAAACTTAGATATGCTTTAAGACAATGAGAAAATTATGTTAAGAAATTACCAACTTTTTTTATTAATATGTTAGTTTAATAATTCCAACTATGAACCATGTAAAAGACAAATTATTTGCAAAAACAAAACAAGATTTCTAATTAACCTAGAACATGTTATGCATTTACAGAACCCTTTTTCTCTCAACAAATTTGATGCAGGCCAAAATATTTTTCCATATTCAGTTCTCCTCCTTGAACCATGAAAGGTTCATCCTGAAACAAATTGCATCCAGAGTCTGAAAGGATAAAGTTATTGATCATGCATGGTAGCTAGTATTCCTAATATCAGTTAGTCCCAAGAAAGCATTGTTTATTATCACTGATTGAACTTGCGTTATATACGAACAAAGAGAAAGCTCAGTTTAGTCCAAAGATCATTTAATTTCATGGAATTTTCTGTTGACTGTAATGGAGTTTGAATTTATTCTCTTTGAACTTTTAAGATTTAACTCTAACTCTGTTTGGAAGTCTAGATTTATGTCTTTAGTATCACTTATGCTTATATACCTTTTTCTGTATGGTAACAGTGAAACCCACTGCACAGTGAATAATATGTTGCTCTTGAATTGCTCACATATGAAATAGTATATTCATATCCTGTCACTTATTGATTTCTTGATTTTGTTGCTCCTATTCAAATTCTTTGAAAATACAGTGTTATTTTCTGTTGCCTGTTAGAAGAGAATCATCCTGGGAGCTCCCATCCTCCAGTCACTATTGTCTGTATATTCTTTACAACTGTACACAGCAGTATTACAGGTGATAGAAATATTATAGCACAACTAACAAGATGTGTAGGCTGCGAATGTATACTGAAGAGTATTTGTAACTGCTAAAAACAAGCAAACTTTGGAAAGATTTCTGGCACAGTGTTATTGAAGACATGATTATCTGGAAAGTATCGTAACAATTTGAATTATAGTACTACCTAAAAAGATCATGAATTGTGTTGAATTTCTACAATTATTTTTTACTTTTTGTTTGAATTTGAATTACTATTATTTTTTTTATTTTTGATCTCTTTTTAATTTCATCACATGCTGACTATTAAATATTCCCTGAAAATACTCTGGTAAATTCAGCTTAATGAATGGAAAACATTTTACATCCCATTATTACTACATCTGTAACACACATTCTAAATAACAAGGCTTCTTTTGAAATAATTACATAAGTATCTAAGAACATGAATAGCACTAGTAATGTGTTGATGCTGAATGGTTGACTGCAATAAAAAAAACAAGAAATAGTATTAAACAAGTAAAACAGATCATAGGGTCTGATACTGAAAGTAAAATGGCAATTTTTTTTTTTTTTTAAGTGATACTATATGCATTTTCTATTAATCCATTTATTTCTGATTGATTGATATAGAACAAAGAGTATCCAAGTAAAAATGCTTATGTACCTACAGGCAGTGACTCTGAAATCTGCACCTTAAGGACAAAGAAAGGTCGCCAATCTCTCCAACTCCTAGTTCTTTGTCAAAAATGGACACAGTTAATGAGGTTTGTTTGGTACAGCACAAATTCTCAGACACAGATAGAGATCCTTTCAATGGAAACAAATTTGTTTGGCTTTACCAGGTTACTTAGCGATTAATAATAGCCTTGAGATGCAGGTCAGAAAGGTCATCGTACCCGCTTGCCAACACAATCTAAAATGTGCAGCTAGTCTGGCTTTGCAGGCTTTGAGGCCCCGAAACACTATGCATAAAGTAAAACAGGCTATTTTCCAACTTCTTTTTTCATATTAATAAGCAATTTTCAAGAGAAGGGTGGCAAAATGGGGGCCATGCCACTCTAAGTAATTCATTTATTTTGCAATTTAATCTTATGTTGGAAAAAAATTACACTGCTGAAAAAGCATAGCATGGTGATTTTTAAACGTCAGTGTGCTTCATAAGTAACCTTGTATGAAATATTGTATTAGCAGCCTTTAACAGTAAACTGCAACAAAAAATATTTCCAGGGTTTGAAAGAGACCTATACATCTTTTCCGATCTTTAATTTATTTCTTTTCCATTTTATTTTTTTCTGTTACATTTGAAATAAAATGTGTAAATAGTTAATTTTTTACTTACTGTTGTTGATAAAAACTTGAAAGATAGCATGAAATAAGTAACAATTCTATGCTGCAATTTCTTTTTAATAATTTACTCTTTCACATATGTTGACGAACCTTTTTAATGTTATGATAGTTCAATATTAAGAATAGATCGGATGCACAATCTTAAACACACTTTTAGGAGTAATATGATGTTCCAACAGAATTGTTCATAGTAGCAAACTTATTCATACGTGACAGGATTTGGATTTTGTCCTATTGTATCTTTTTAGTATCCATTGACACAAGTGAGACCATTAATGTGGACCTTTCTAAAGGTCTTTCTTTTTTTTTTGCTGGAACATTTTAATAATCCAGATATATTAATATCTGGTTAAATATTTTAAATAATGGATAAATATTGATGTTCTTTTGTTGTTGTTGTTGTTTGTTTGTTTTTGCCATCTACTCAAATGCTTAAAAAAGAACCAACAAATAAAATTTACTCACCTAACTTTAAAACAATCTAAATGGTTGACTGAATATATTTGGTGTCTTTGGCATGCCAATTAATTTGAACTAGCCATTTCTTAATAACAAATGTAACAAATGTTAATCAAACTAACCTTTTTTACCTGGGTCAAAAATCCATGTGCACTGTGCACAGCAGCACAAAATTTTGTTTCTCTCTTCACTGTTTGCATAATTTATGAAAAACCTCGTTCTTTGCAAGAAGCCATTGTGGTGGAATCAATGGCCATTTTCTTTTCTAAACGTTCATTTGGAATCATGAGTTCTCGCCATTCTCTGCCAGCTGGTATTAGGTACAGTTCTTTAGTTCTTTTACGATGAAACAATGTCCTATAACCTATTGACTATGTCCTTTAGTTGACACTATTTTTGCAAACTTCTTTCATACACTGCCTCATGAGACAGTTATATTTTTTTCTTGTGGCCTGTACCATTGCTATCAGACTAGAGTATAAAGTGACCTGTGCAAGAAACTTAATGCTATGGAAACTCCTCTTTTTAAAGACATTGCTGAATAAGAAGCTTATTTCCAGTTCTCTGTGCATAAGTACTCCATTGTACAAAAGGCTCAAAGGTCTAGGAGAGAATATCAACTCTTATCCTGTGTTTACTATGCTTTTTCATGTCATAAGTTTGTAGATCAGAAGGAGATGTCGCAAAGCACTAATCGAAACTTAAGTGAACAGCTTGTTTTAAGACTGAAGGAACATTACTAAATTAAAATAAATTCTAGTTATAAAAAAAAGTCAAACGAAAATTATTCTGAAAGACAGCAAAATATCTATAAATTTTATTTGATCAAACTATTAAAATAAGCATTGACATATTCTTCAAAGTAATAACTAAACAATATGAACTAATATACTGGTTTTGGCATTTTAATCCTATTTCTTCACAGCTATCTCCATGTAGATTCTGCTGCTGTGGAACTCAATGAACTGTAATTTTCCATTCTACTGTTGCAGTATATTGCTAATGGTTAATAGCAAAATACCATGAGACTTTAAAAGGGTTAAAGTAAAATAAAACATGACCAGGTCCTTTATTATTACCACATGATTGATAGATTTATTTTATTACAGGAATGAACTCCAAGAGTATGCAGAAATGAATGAAAAGGAAAAGAAGAAGAAAGACCTAGAAAAGAAAGAAAAGGAAAAGAAATACAAAGCCCGAAAGATGCATTACCTCCTTAGCACTGAGCAGGTTGGTATACCTGTCCCTGACAGCTCATGCAAACCACTTGGGCCCCCAGCCTGACAGAGATAAACTAGCAGGCTGAATGGGACATGACTTGTTGAAAAGATATCACAAAGACACTACTTCGAGTTCAATTTAGTGCTTTTCTATAGGCAAGAGCAGGTACCATGACTATTCCACGACAGCAGCTTCATAGAGGCAGCATCAGCACTGCTGGCAGAAAGAGTCCAAGTCAGCAGTTTGATCTGCCACTGTGATAACACAACACGAAGGGCATAACCTCGCTTTAAAAACTCATTTTGACTGGCTTATTGTTGTGTTGTTGCACTTGTCAAGAACTAACAAGTTATTAAGCTGAGGAGGGATTTCATTTTTTCCCCTTTTTTAAATTGAGCTAATGCTGGGACTGGTTCTATCTTCTCTTTGTTTTTAAGACAGATTGTAAATGCAGTTTTTCTGTAAAAGCTTTTCCTAGAACTGCCTGAATCAGCTTATTTAGCATAATTGTTTTTACATAGAAATGCCTCATAAATTTTAAATATTTACTGATTAATTTGTTTTGTATTGATAAAAGTGATATATTTTTCAAGCTTTCTTATGTATGCTGCTTTGCAGACAGCATAGCCATACATGTATCTTAGACAAAATGAATATGATTGGTAATGCTTGTGCTTTTGCCTTTTGTTACTGCTCTTTTTTAAACATTCACATAAATCATAAGTGCCTAGTGATTGGTTTTACTTCATATGAATAAGGAATAACAGACAGTTGGGATATGTTGACGTGAACTGAATGCTTCTTTTTCTTGATTCTTACTCATTTCTTACTTTACGTATCTGATTGGTTATTTATCTATATAGATTATCTATGTGGAAGAAGTGCAAATCCTAAAGAAAGCAAGAAAAATACCATGCCACTTAGTGGCAGAAAATTAATATTTTCTTCTGTTTGGGAATCATTTGTAATCTAAACGTTGCTTAAAATATATATGCATTGACTGGATATCAGTTATTAAAAAAAAAAAATCAATTTTCCAATAAAATGCTAAAAAATAGCATGATAAAAATGCTGTTTAGTAACAGCAGAAAAAATTCTGAATGACTTTTTTTCTGAGGAAATTGGTAACTAAAATTCATTCACAGTAATTAATTTATCCAGATGTAAAACTAGAATATTAACAATTATTTGTGCACTGTTTTTCTTTTGCTTTATACTATATTTGTGTTGGAGAAAATTATGTAAAACAAATAGATAGACATTAATGCATTTATCTGGAGCAAAAAATTGGATTTTTATTGACAATTAAGAGATTTACTGTCTAAAGAGAGTTTAGTAAACTTAGTTCATTTCACTTCTGATAATACTGTCTTAGCAAATTACTGACACTTATTTAAGGAATGGCAAGAGGGGCCTTACGTCAGCCATGCACCCAGAGGACTTCTGATAGTGGGCTGCAGTAATTATTATGGTCTGATGAATTTGTGTTTTGATTTTACAGAATTACATAGAATTCATTTTCAGAATCTTTCAGAACAAAAATATATTTGATTGTGCTTGCAAAGATAACTTGTGTATACAGTGACTCAGTCTACAGAATTTTTCCTTTATAACAGAATCACAGAACTTTGCTTCAAGAACTACCTTTCTAAGGTAGTATTTTGAAATATGAATGAATGTAAATCAAGGGAACACCTACAAACACCCTGAAAAACAGCAACCATCAATTTATTGTCATCAAGCTGTGTATTTAACAATTCCTCATAATCATAAAACTTAATATCTTCCTAAGATACAGAGCAAATGATTTTACTTCAGAATTTACTGTTTTTATGCTTTGTGCCTGGCAATTTTCTCTGAATATCCTTGCTCTTCTGACCTGACTATAAGTGCTTCTTGCTATCTTCAAAGGATAGTTAACTGGATTACTGAGTAAGGTCTGTTCATTGTCTCAGTATAATCAGGCAGCAAAAATCAACACTTCTGAGTGAGTGAAGGAAATGATATCTTTTGTAATCTGCGGACATAGCAAATGAAAAGAGGAGGCTGATAAAATGGATTTATTTTAAAGTCATGTATTAACTAAAGCCCAGTGAGTGCAGATGATTTGCTAAAGTTTTTGTAGTGGTGGAGCTAAGCCACACCAAGGATCAAGGCTGCAGATACTCAAGCAAGTTGTATGGACAGCATTACAAAATCTGCATCTGCAATAATGGTTTCTAATATATCCTATATATTGTGAATCTTTTTGTTTTATTACAAGCATGGAAAAAGGTGTGTTTACTTACTGTCAGAAAGGAATTGTCAGTAAAGAAAGATATGTCAAGTTCCTCTTTCTACAAGTCAAATCCCACAAAAGTATCTCAGAAATATGTTACAGGTTAAACAAGGAAATAACCAAGCATGTAGCTCTACACAGTGTAGCAGATAATACAGTGATCCCTTGTGCCTTTAAAGACTGTTAATCCTGTATTGAATTCAGAATTTGCATTTCACAGATATAATCTTATTGCACTGATAAAAATATATACATGTACACAAGGCTGTGCCAATTTTTAATTGGTAGCATTATTTCACATTTCAAAAAGTAAATCTTACAAATGCTGGTATTGTAAATATACAGGGTTGTCTAGTATATTTTTATAAAATCATGGCTTATGATAAAGTCAACTTTTTTTTTTCTGGTGTTAACTTTCTATTGAAGCATTTATTTCTTTCATAAACTGTTTCCTTTATAAAGGAAAAAAAAAAAAAAAAAAGAGAGAGAGAAAGGAATGGAGATTAAATTCTGAATTACTATACATTATTTGTTGTTGTTGGGAGCAGGTATACACACATAGCCTTATATAGACAGTTCTGAGCTTGCTTCGGTTGCTTTCCAAGCCAATCTAGAGCTATAACATAGGGCTGAACCTAAACTAATTAGCCTTGTTGAGAGCCATGGTATATTAGCTGTAGAATTAATACAATTACACAGCTTCTAGTAAGCTCAAAATATGAGCAGTCTAAGTGTGTGAACACTTTAATCTTAGGCAGGAAGTTTGATCTACCTAAAAATATTGAAAAGGTATGCCTACATTTAAATCTACATTACATCTTTTTTTTTTTTTTCCCTTTGGCATACTGATTTCCATTAACATGAAACAGTGACATTCAGGAAAATAGTTGGATTGTAAAAACTTTATGCTATTATACTATGTTTTACACTTTATGTTTTGCAAACAATTTTGACATGAAAATCTAACAAAACATGACTGTTTCACATTGCTATATGTACAAATACATTGCATTTACATAAACATTTTAATAGACATAAGTCATTTATTTGGATTAAAGAATTATTTTAGCAAAGAAATTTAAGGAATAGGAAGATGAACAAAGGGAATTTTTTTTATATATATATCCTGCCAACTTCATCACAGAAAAATGTTTTTTGGCTTTTCTGAAAAACAGCAACTTTTTTTTTTTTTTCTTTTTTTCTATCTATAGTACCAGAAGTATCTATGCAATACAAATATAATACTCTTTACATGTAAGAGTTGGCTTGAAAAAAGAAAGCAAATTTTGTTTGATTTAAGCTAAGTTAGTTGCCAAGTAATCTCTGGAAAAATAAAATTTGAGCTCTAAAGCTTCATGGTTATGAAACACTGAGCTTTTAACCTATGTCAGTAGTTTCAATAACTAGTCAAGTAATATCTAACACACATTAGCTTCCTTGGAAGAGAATTTCTCCTACATGATTCCCATAATTATGAAAAAAACCAAACCAGTTTGCAGGTGTTAAATCATGTTGTCTGCTCCACCTACTGGTTGCTTTTTGCAAGAGACTCCAGTGAAAAAATACAGCAAGAAATAAATCTGTGAGATAGCAACTATAAAGCTTCCAAGTAAAATTCCATTTTAAAAATAACATCCTCTATTTCAAATTTTAATTTTTATATATGTAAGAACGTTATCCTTTTTTTGTTTTTACCTTAACAATGGGATAAATTCTGACTTTATGATGAATATAATAAAAATTGCAGTACATATTTAACAAGACTTTGCCTTTGTTCAGAATATTTCTTGTCATTTATTACTGGAAATAGAGTAGAAATAACAATGCGGACCCATTTCTATTTTTTTCATTATTTTTGTTAGTCATACTATGAATGAATTACAAGTTCTTTTTGAGATGTGGAACTTGAAATAATTAAGATTTTACTGGTCCATAATCACAGTCTAATGTTTCTGTTACAGAGGTCATGATCTGTTTTTTCAGTTGTCAGTAATAAATGAAAAAGATCTTTAAGGTTAATATTTAATATCTATTATAAATATGTTTATCTATATGTATAATCCATCTCTATCCCTTTCATTTCTGTCTGTGTATTCACTAAATTCACTGTAATTGAATAGTTTCTGCTCTTTGTCATACTAGCAAGGTGGACATTTGTAGGAAGGACTGTCCTTTGCAAAGGGCTGACAAACTGTAAAGTCAATGAAAGATGGACTAGAATTACTAGAACACACTGATGACACTTTGTAAAAGTGAGTATGAAGACTCTACATTTGTCAAAGTGTGGTTGAGCAATTCCTATCATTGGTATTTCCAACCTTCCAACAAATTTTGGAGATTTTGGTCTTTGCCTCACAATGATGATTAGAATGTATGATAGACTAAATCCAAATAAGTCAAACTAGAATACTGAGATGGATTGTTTACATATCTCTTGGTGGAGCAAGAAACAGTGCTGAAGTGAGTCTGATCCTGGGTGAGAGCAAGTGTGTCAACTGCTGCTAGCACTACTGTAGCTACCCCTTACACTTTAGTTTTAGGAGGCAACTGTACTGGGTGAAGCAAGTGCAAATTTAGTGCTCTTATCTCCAACTTTCCTTTGCTTTTAAGCAGATAAATTTATCTGGTTAACATTTGCAAAAAAATCATATACTACACACATTTTTTAAGAAAAAGTGATCTGAAGCTAGTTCAGAAAGCAAAACTTCCTCAATGTATACTGTCTACAAAA